TTTTTAGGTAACTTTTTAAGGTATTTGACTTTAATTGGCATGGATTTATTTAATTCCTTTTGCAGAACTATATACAAATGCCAGCATGCAAATGTGCTTGTATCCGCACTATTGCATTATGTTGCGCGTATGGTTGAAGTACCACATACCATGTTTGGCTCTTCATCTTCTGGTTCATTCGTTTTTGGTATCGCTGAGTCGTTGCTTTCTATTTTCACCTTCCGCAAACAACAGGATGTACTCAAAGCAACTGGCGCTACTGGCGCTGAACTTTCGCAACAATTTCGTGAACACTATCCACTTGCAAATCAAAGTCTTCTACTGATTCTTATACTAACAAATCACTGTACCACTAAAGATAATCCATATCGCGCTAGCTTATTTGGCTGCGCTGATTCGAAAGATTCGCCGAAAGAAGGCGCTACTTTCCAGATCGACTTCACCTCCGTTTACGAGACTTTATGTCGTATTGTGACCATCGACCAAGCCACATTGTTGTTATATCTCTTGCTACATCGAAATGAACGTTTCTACCGCTTTGTAATGGCGCAGAATGACCTAGAGAATTTGGTGATACCTATATTGCAGACATTGTACCATGCTCCGGATAGTACTTCGCATCACATCTACATGTCACTAATCGTCCTGCTAATACTTAGTGAGGATGATGGATTCAACAAGAATGTGCATAATATAGTGAGTGCAAATCCATTAGCTCAATTAAAAAAATATTTTACTTACATTCGTCTCTATTTTAGATGCTTAAAAACATCCATTGGTACACAGAGCGCACCATATCGGAGATATCGCTGGGTGGTCTTCTAATCCTGGTTGTCATACGCACCATTCAATATAATATGTTGAAAATGCGTGATAAATATTTGCATACAAACTGTCTGGCGGCGCTGGCGAATATGTCTGGGCAGTTTCGGGCATTACATCCATATGTAGCGCAAAGACTTATATCGCTTTTTGAAACATTAGCGCGTAAGCACACGCGTCTCGATGCGCAGCTGAAAGAACCTGTTAATAATGGAGTTTTCGTGAACGTTAACACCACGCCTGAGGATATGCTACAAGATCTCACAGTGTTAGAAGAGGTGTTACGGATGGTTTTAGAGATACTTAACTCTTGTCTATCCAATCAGTTGGTTTACTGCCCAAATCTGGTCTACACTTTACTATATAAACGAAGTGTTTTCGAAAGTTTCCGCAGCCATCACGCGTTTCAAGATATAATACAGAACATAGATATGGTAATGAATAGAGAGAGAGAGAGATGCTAAACATTTTAGAAATATTGCCATTTTCACATTGCTTACGAAAATTTTTGTACTCTTTTTAGGTTGTAGGATTCTTTTCCTCGCGTCTGCAGCGAGTTCAGGAGCAGCGTGGAGAACTGGGCGTAAACGAGGTGTTTGAGGTGATATCTAAAGGTGCCAGTCAATGGTCGAGTGACCGGCTTAGGGTAAGTATTTTGTCAAGCCATTTATTTAGCAAAAATTAAATTTCTTGTAATACAGAAATTCCCTGACTTGAAATTCAAATATGTTGAGGAAGATGCGCCTGAGGAGTTTTTCATTCCGTACGTATGGACATTGGTATGCAAATACGGTTGCGTGCATTTTAGTTCGGAAAGTATTAAAGGTGTGACCACGGATATACAATGCTAATACAATACGACAATAGATGAAATTAACACTAAGCAGCAACAACACATACAGTACACCGACTTTTTGAAGTTTCGGTTTTGTAGAAATGAGATGCAATTGGTAGTAATAATGGCGCTGATAGTATTGTAACGAAGATATCTATCAGCTTAGTGTGTAATATATTAGCCTTAGAGGAATCATATATATTTTTCATTTCTGCCAACTTCTTAAGCGTCAAAACATACACGCTGACGCGACAATTACAAAAATACATATGTATGTGCTTATCACGTAGGAAAAAAGAAGTTTGTAAGAAAATATCTTCGCATGGGGGTGTATTAGAAATACAACAATTTACTTTTAAGTATTTTTATGATAAATGTTGCTGATTTTTTATGTTACAGCTTTAAATATTTTCTCTCCTATAAATTAAAATCGACCCAATGAATGATTGAATTAATAAATTTTGGATATGCGCGCAATATAGACTATAATTTTAAATTGCTCTTTCATCTATACGAAAACTACTACTTATAAATTAAATTATAGATCTTGGGGCGTTATACAAAATTTGAAATATTAATTAGCAAACTATTACATCTAAATTAAATTAAATTAAAGCAATTCGATTGTACGAATGAACAACTGAGCTGTAAAACGCCCAAACAGTTGCAAAAAAATGAGCAATAAATGAAATATTTCAAAATTCAAAGTGAAAGTCAGATGTAAACGACAGCGAGCACAAGACAAAGCATAATATGGATGAACTCGGTGATAAGTTCATGGCATCGGATTTTCTGATTTTTGCAATTGGGCTTAGTAAAAAATTTGAACAAGTGAAAAAAAAAACAAATAGAATCTATATATACCTTGAAACTTGATATTTACATTCTATGTATGTTGAAGATTATAGATTATATATACAATATTATAAATACATTTAAACAGATAAATTCATGAAAAACTAAAATTATACGATTTTATTCTGCAGTAAAAAGTTATATAGTTCATATATACATACAGAATATGTGCAAATATTAAGCAGATAAACCATGCTGTGCACGGGCACTATGTGCATATATGTATGTATATGTTTATCCACATATATGTATGTACATATGTATGCAGATAAAAAATGAAACAAATGTTCAATAAAAAATATACGTGTTTATGTCGTGTGCTATTTGTTAAAATTAAAAAGTGGCAATTAATTTTAAATTAAAAATGTAAGGCAAACTTTATATTAAAATTAAAACAATTATTAAAATAACTAATACCGATAATAAAAAAAAATGCTATATACAAATGCAATCGTTAATTAATTTCTTATATTTTCCTTTGAGTGCTGTTATCGCCAATTCCATGTGTACAAATCGTTCCCATAATAAAATAGGCAAACAAAAACAAATTGGGAAAAATTGTTTTTGTTGTGCTTTATAATTTTTGGGAATATTTGTTCACATGGAATTGGCAATCGGAATGACTCGGTCGAGTCTATCTAGTTTACGTAGGGAAGATGTTGAGTCTGTGGCACCTGAACGAAGTAATGCTAGGGTGCATTCAAACCCCTCTTCGATGTCGATAGGCGACGGTCGACCACCTAGTAGCATGTTGTCTTTGCGAGTACTGAGACTCGTCCTGACGGCATCGTGGTGGAAATTTCTTGAGTGCCGCTCTGTGTCCAACGGATATTCTATGTACAGCTCGATGTGGAGCCTCCAGTTGTGTAGGTGCCGTCTCACTTGTTGGGCGAGCGGATCGTTTTGAAGCAAAGCATTTTTGGGATGGTTTCTTCGATTATGTCCCACGATGAATTCCAGCTCCAGCTTGGCCATGTTGTTCCAATGGACACCGACGCTCCAGTTTTGAAAGTATGTATTCAACTCAGAACACGCTGATGTTTGCAGAGCAGAGATGTACTTGACATTTGAAAAAAAGGATTTTCCGGTTAAAAGCTTGACATTTTTTTCCTGCGAATGGTTTGTACTCTTGTTACAGATGTACGCAGATTAAGCTTTCTGTACGTTTAAAATTCTAAAATTCGGCTGGCACAAACTAAAAGCTCTCTCTGGAGAACACTGCCTTATGTCTGAATACACATCAGCGATGGGCAGAGAGAGCTTTTACTAAGCGCATGCCTATACAAAATGTATAGAAAGCTTAAAATAGCTTTGCCCGCGGGCAAGGCGATGCCCATCGCCGATATACATACATATCATACCTTTGATGTAAGAGTGACCATTCGCACCGATTTCGGCGGGCAGTACCGATTTTGAGAAAATTGTCCCGCTGAATATTTTTTTAAAATTCGGGACGTATAAGTGTCCCGATTTCAGTGTTTTCTTTATTAATTTAATAAGCGTCTCCTTGTACTCTGGCCCAAAAACAATTTTTCGCACAAACGTGGCAGCACTTTCGTTATCACAAAGGACATAGAAACCGCCAAATTAATTCGCTTCGCCAGTGATAATCTTCTTCTTCTTTTTCTTCTTTTTAGGCTGTAACCGCCTAAGCGATTTTGGCCGAGTTCAGCAAAGCACGCCAGTCGTTTCTCCTCTGTGCCAACTGACGCCAATTGGAAACGCCAAGTGAAGCCAAGTCCTTCTCCACCTGATCTTTCCATCGCAGTGGGGGCCTCCCTCTTCCTCTGCTACCACCAGCGGGTTCCGACTTGAATACTTTCAGAGCTGGAGCGTCGGTGTCCATTCGAACGACATGACCAAGCCAGCGGAGCCGCTGTATTTTAATTCGCTGCACTATGTCCATATCGTTGTAAAGCTCATACAGCTCATCGTTCCATCGTCTGCGGTACTCGCTGTCGCCAACGCGTAAAGGCCCGTAAATCTTCCGCAAAATCTTTCTCTCAAACACTCCAAGAGGCGCCTCATCGGATGTTGTCATTGTCCATGCTTCTGCGCCATATACCAGCACGGGCATGATGAGTGACTTATAGAGCGTGGTTTTCGTACGTCGAGCGAGGACTTTACTCCTGAATTGCCTACTCAGTCCAAAGTAGCACTTGTTGGCAAGAGTGATTCTACGTTGGATTTCAATGCTGACATTATTATCGGTGTTAATGCTGGTTCCCAAGTAAACGAAATTCTCTACTTTCTCGAAATTGTAACTGTCAACAGTGACGTGGGTGCCAAGGCTCGAATGTACTGACTGTTTGTTTGATGACAGGAGATACTTCGTATTGTCCTCGTTTACCACCAGACCCATTCGCTTTGCTTCCCTAGCCAACTTGGAAAAGGCAGAACAGACTTCGCGGTTTTTGTTACCGATGTTGTCGATGTCATCGGCATATACCAGCAATTGCACGCTCTTGTAGTAAATTGTTCCTGAGCGGTTCAGTTCTGCAGTTCTTATTATCTTCTCCAACATCAGATTAAAGAAGTCACATGAAAGGGAGTCACCCTGTCTGAAACCCCGATTTGTGGCGAACGGCTCGGAGAGGTCTTTTCCAATTCTGACGGAGCTGGTGGTACTGCTCAACGTCATTTTACACAGCCGTATGAGTTTTGAGGGGATGCCAAATTCAGACATAGCGGCGTATAGGCAACTCCTTTTAGTGCTGTCAAAAGCGGCTTTAAAGTCGACAAATAGGTGGTGAGTGTCGATCCTTTTCTCGCGGGTCGTTTCCAAGATTTGGCGTATTGTGAATACCTTGTCTATGGTGGATTTGCCAGGTCTAAAGCCACACTGATAAGGCCTAATCAGTTCATTGACGGTGGGCTTCAGTCTTTCACACAATACGTTCGATAAGACCTTGTAACCTATGCTTAGAAGGCTGATCCCGCGGTAGTTGGCGCGAATGGCGGGGTCACCTTTCTTGTGGATTGGGCAGAGCACACTTAAATTCCAGTCGTCGGGCATGCGTTCATCTGACCATATTCTGCACAAGAGTTGATGCATGCACCTTAGCAACTCCTCGCCGCCGTACTTGAATAGCTCGGCTGGCAGGCTTTCAGCTCCAGCGGCTTTGTTGTTTTTCAGCCGCGTTATTGCTATACGTACCTCGTCATAGTCAGGCGGTGGAACGTCGACTCCGTCATCATCGACTGCGGGCTCGGCTTTTTCTTCTCCACAACTTTCCGTGCTGCTACCATTTAGTAGGGCGGAAAAGAGTTCCTTCCATAATTTAAGTACACTCTGGACATCAGTTACTAGGTCGCCATTATTGTTCTTACAGGAGCGGAAGGAGGTGGAACCACTTTTCCCGCTCATTAAGTACCGCCAGTGATAATATCACCAATAAAATGATAAGAGATATTTTAGCATTCTTGGGCTATTCCCCTTTCGATTATTTAATGTTTATTATTTTTTATGAAGGTGTAGCTCGTTATCTTCCAAAGACCATGTGAGTCAATATTTCAAACTTTGTACAAAACTTAGCAAAATTCGACAAAGGTACATCGTAATTTTGAGCTGTTTAATGAGATTTCTTGGAAACAACCTGAGTAGGCAGTTTTGTAGCACATTCCATTCACAATGCAAATTTTAAGTAGCTAGATATCTAAATTTGTTTTTGTGGAAAGTGGAACTCATTTTCTCTACGACAGCATTGTTTTGAACAATTCTAGAAACTCTGATTAAAATTTTGAGCGACATTTCCTAAAATTCGTCGAATTTGTACAATTGTTCTACAAAGTTGGAAATTTTGATTTACATGTTGTTTTACGGTAGTAGCCAAAACTTGCTCAAATGTATTTTTTCTATTTACATTCTCGCCACCGTATATATTGTGGCTATACATTTTTGCGATAATTTTTCAAGTATATTTTTCTTTGTTTTGTTTTAAATAATACCGTATTAAAATATGTTATTTTTTTATTCCAAAAAGAGAATTGTATGTTCAGATTTGATGTTTTAGATGTGTCCCGCGTCTTGGCCACAGAAATCTGGTCACCTTAGTCATAGTCCACAAACATTTTTTCCGAAAAGTGTGTAAGCAGAAATTACCGCCACCTCCACTTCTATGTTGTGTAAAAATGACAGAGCTGTACCGATTACACTGGCCAACAGTGGTTTGATGCCAAGGAGCCATCGGTATTGGTACCTCTCTTCAATAGTTTTTTAAGCACTAGCGAAACTGCTCCCCTTTCTCTTCGCTATGGAATACAAGATTCTCTGGGAACTGGTCCTAAGGTTTTAAAGTTCTCCAGTACTTCGGTTATGATTTTAATTTATAATTTCACAAGCGAGCGCTTTTACCCCATGCCTTCATTTTCTACTATCTGTGTCTTAACATCTGTAAAATTTCCGTTTTAACTTTGTCCCGTTTTCTCATGTGGGCACCTTGCTGTCCTAACATATCACTTTCAAAATGGCATCAAGTCAGTCAGATCGATCTGTACCCAATGTAGATGGGGGCGGTAAAATGAAAACTGAGTTGTCAAACTACGAAATAACAGCAGATGTTAAGACAGCGATGGCAAGAAATTCGGCAAGACAGATATGGTTTAACAGTGGAAATTTGCGGTCTCCACCTCACATTTCTGTCTTAACACTGCTTTTTTAACAGAATCTGTAGAAGGTGGGGGCGTGGGGTTAGAACCAATTTTGTAATAGGTTTATATTACTTCAAGCGCAGTTTCTTGCAATTACCTTCTCTCAGTGTGATTAGAACTCTCACTTCTCTCCTAAACATAGGCACATAGTTTAGGGACATCTATGTAGGGGATAAGGATTTTGTAGCATGGCTGAGA